TGATACCGACTGAGAAGTCGTTTTGCCTTGAACTTATCTTTTAGGAAGAACCAATGACTTTATTCCATCTGAGAAGTCGTTGTGCATTGGTTTTATCTAGATTAGGTACCAAGGTCTTGATACCGACTGAGAAGTCATTTTGCCTTGGTTTTACCCTGAGGAGGTACCAAGGTCTTGACCACTATGGATGATGAGAGCAGAAGGAATCGAACCATATGTTGTACCTTGGGCTTACCTTTAAGAAGAGCCAAATGCTTTGTTCTGACTAAGGAGTCTTTTTGCTTGGTTTTACATTGAGGAGGTACCAAGGTCTTGACCACTATGGACGATGAGAGCAGAAGGAATCGAACTATATGTTGTGATTGAGGAGGTACCAAGGTCTTGACCACTATGGACGATGAGAGCAGAAGGAATCGAACTATATGTTGTGTCTTAGGCTTACCTTTAAGAAGAGCCAAGGGCTTTGTTCCGACTGAGGAGTCGTTTTGCCTTGGTTTTATCCAGATTAGGTACCAAGGGCTTTTGACCGACTGAGGAGTCGTTTTGCCTTGGTTTTATCCAGATTAGGTACCAAGGGCTTTTGACCGACTGGGGAGTCATTTTGCCTTGATTTTATCCAGATTAGGTACCAAGGGCTTTTGACCGACTGAGGAGTCGTTTTGCCTTAGTTTTATCTAGATTAGGTACCAAGGGCTTTTGACCGACTGAGGAGTCATTTTGCCTTGGTTTTATCCAGATTAGGTACCAAGGGATTTTGATACAGACTGAGAAATCGTTGTGTCTTGGGTCTATCCCGAGGTAGCGTCATGGTCTTGTGACCGAGGGGTCATTGCGCCGTGGGCCTATCCTGAGGCGACACTAGAGTCTTGTGACCGACTGAGGAGTCATTTTGCATTGGTTTTATCCAGATTAGGTACCAAGGGCTTTTGATACCGACTGAGAAGTCATTTGCCTAGACGACCAGGTCTTTTGATGTCTTTCTTTTCATTTGACACTTTAATTGATTGTTTAGAATTTTATGCATGATAGAGTATTCATATTTATTCCATCGGGTAGTGCCGAATTAGTGTTTCTTACCTAGATGTATTTTATACATGATAGAGTATTCATATTTATTCCATCGAGCCATGTGAAAAGTTCTATTCATTCAAAACCGTTAAAATTGATACGAGTGGATGAAGGGTCAAATGACGACGGATTCACTTGGTGTGTTGGGGTTTTAGAATATGTAGATCAAGTTCAACGAAGCGGATCATCCACAATGTCGCTCAATCATGTGATTTTAGAGGCGTCAAGGAGGAAATCCCCTCCTATGACAAGGATACCCATTAATCTCTCTCTCTCTCTCTCTCTCTCTCTCTATATATATATATATATATATATATATATATAGAGAGAGAGAGAGAGAGAGAGAGAGAATTTCGCTCAATCATGTGATTTTAGAGGCGTCAATGAGGAAATCCACTCCTATGACAATGATACCCATTAATCTCTCTCTCTCTCTCTCTCTCTCTCTC